ATACATACATACATACATACATACATACATACACATACATATATATATACATATATATACTCTTGTTTTAGAGTGTTCCCTACCTCAGCAAAGAAGTGTCCCATCACACGACACAACCCACATAGAATACTACTCAGTGAGGGGGGGGTGTTTCCATTCGTCCTTCAGCTTTCCCTCTTTCTGATAAACCAAAAAGCAGAGCTTATATTGGAGGATCAAATTCATCAAGGTGAAGAAAGGGTATCAGGATATGGAATGGATGTGGAGCCTTGGCCCAGATATGAAACAAATTGGATTTGCATTGTGATGCTCTGCCCATCATCTTGCTCATTTGGACCTGCCCTGCCCTATCCAAATGCTGAGTCTGTCAAATTTAAAGACAATGACCAAGCCTACTCTTTATGAAGTCTTTACTTCTGAATGGCAAGGGTTTTTTTTTTAAGAAAGGGGTAAAACTTAATGAGTTAGCCAATTTATTAAAAGGTTACAATGACAAATTATTCGATTGGTTGTTGCTTAAATCAAATGATATATACTGAGCAATCCAGTGGTGGGTTCTGGATCCCATTGCAACCGGTATGGTGCAACAGGGGCCAGCGTCCACCACAAGAATGCGTGCAGCACGTACGCACACTCACGTAGCGCACACATGCGTCTTTACTTCCTGCGACATTCCGTGATGCCTCGGCAATGCTCCAGCTGCTCAGTGGAGCGTCGCGCAGACACTGTATGCTCCATGCACTGTATGCTCCATGCGCATGTGCAGAAGCGCCGAAGAACTCAAATACCAGTAAGGAGCTTGGGCGGGTGGGTGGGCCCTCCGAAGCACCATACCAAAATGGTACCTGGTGCTCTCGGCAGGCATCCGAGGGTGTACTGGTCGTAACCCACCACTGGAGCAATCCTAAATTAAGTCAAACATATTGCTGAATTATACAACTTTGTTGTCAGGTGGAAAGGTGGATTATGATTATTGTTTTGGTTTGTCACACAGTCATCCAGATGTTCAGACTGGATGTGGCATTTTTGTCCACCTATCAAGTCCTTCCCAAGGACTGAAGACAGGCAGATGTGGATGTTTGATGGGGTTAAAGATATTGACACAAGATGTAAGTTTTTCAAAATAAAGTTGTCTTTTGCAATTGACTGATGGTCATTTTTATCAATGCCAATGGTGTTCCAGTGGTGCTACAGTTGTTTTGGGAATGCACACAAGGCATCTATTAGTATTGGTACTATATTTGCTTTCTCTTGGTACAGTCATTCTATTTCTGTTTGCAGGTCTTTATATTGTGTATTCTTCTCTAGTTCTTTCTATTCTATTCTCCTTTCTCCAGATACTGCCACATCTACCATCCTGACTTTTTTTATTTTTCTTACCAACAATTGTTAAATCTTGGGTGTTATGTGGCTGTCAGTTTGAATTGAAGTCCCAGACCATTTTAGCTTCTTCATTTTCTATTACTTTGATTATTATGATTATGGTTTGTCACACAGTCAGCCAGATATTTAGACTGGATTTGGAACTTTTCTCTGCTTATTGAGTCCTCCTCAATGTATCTGGGATAGGCAGATGTGGATATTTTATAGAGTTAAAAGGTATTGTTGCAAGATATAAGCTGTTCCAATTAAAGTTGCCAATTATCATTACCTTATTATTTTTTCAGGGCGATCAAAGCAGAGACTCAATATTGTTAGAAGAAATAAGACAATGGATTTTTATTTCAATTTTTCTGAGTATGTATTAGAAATTAAATTGATATTCTAGATTCAACTAGGTTCAACAATTCTTCAGGTATATTGTGTTGGGATATTTATACAAACTCCTGAACACTCTGAATTAAAGCTATGTAAAATATGTTTGCAGATATAGTTTAAAATCATGTGGCAAGAAGCATGTTTCTATCTTCTAGAGAGCAAACCACAATCTTGTTGTATTTAATAAACTCAATATTTGAACAAGAAGCATGTTTCTATCTTCTAGAGAGCAAACCACAATCTTGTTGTATTTAGTAAACTCAATATTTGGTAAAATAAAGATTATTGTATGTAGTAAATTATAGTGATTGCATGAAATTTAAATATTTGTTCTGACTTATACAGAAAGTGATTTAAGAATGGATCACAGAATCACATCTTAAATCCTTACTTTGTAATTTGCAGTAATGAAGTACTTCATTCATTAGTCACGTAATATTTTATTCCATTTTTTAATTTTATTTACTTTTAAGTATTCCATATTTTAATATTCTACCACTAGTTTGTTTTTGTTTGCTCCATTTTATTTCAATTGATTTATCAATTTGTGTTTCTGTGTGTGTCTGTGTGTGTGTGTGTGTGTGTGTATCTGTCTGTCTGTCTGTTTGCCTAAGCCTTGCAGTCTTTTCACATAACCAAGTAAAGTACTGGTCAGCAATGTTAAAAGAGATGTTTGTTGATTAAATACCCATTTCTGCTTTCTTATGTAGGCTACTGGCATGTTCCCATCAGTCATCACACACATCAAGATTTGGCAATGATAGTAATCTTTCTAGTTCTCTTGTCTTATCTATGTTTAGAAGCAAATGAATTCCAGTTAGCCATCTTAGAGATTCCTCTAAGACTTCACATCTCATCTGTTCAGAGAAAATCCTATAATCTGTCTGGAAAAACAGATAGGATAAATATTTTTGTCTCTTTTAAAAGAGTGTCTTTTACTAATAAACTAGTGGAGTTTCTTCTCAGACTGAAAAGAAACTCTACCCATTTATTAGTACCCGTCTAGACTTAAATACATATAATGCAATTAAGAAAACTTAAAAAGCCAAAGCATGTTAGTTTTTTGTGGAAATATATTAGCTAGCCATGGCGTCATGTTAACTGGAATTTTATTGCAACGCCTTAAAAACAACATGTCAGTGTAAAGATATTTGGAATAGGGAAAACTGTTCTGTTTTGATTGAAAATTATAATTCTAAATTATATTTCTATAAATACTGCATTTCACAAGTGTTATCGCATTTTTTCATTGTTATTTTGCTCTAACCCTAAGTATCAAATGACAACTTTTGGGTCCTCACACCCAACCATTTTAAGCTACTGAAAAGCCAGTTTACTGTAGTTTTGTAGTTTCCTTCCTTTTTCCTTTCTTATATTTAATCATCGTGAAGGAGGATGTTTTATTTTGCAGGGAGATTTTCATGTGTGTTGCTGCAAAACAATCCGTGTTGTCAAAAACAAGATAAAAAGAATTTCCATATTTCTCAAGGAGAAGTTCAAAGGTTTGAAACCATTTCTTTTTTAAAATGTGGTTGCTTTATTTTGACGTTGCTTATAGAGTTTGACATGCATTTCTACCCTCACTATTATGACAACTGTATTTAATGAGTTGAAAAGATCAGTAAAATATCCTACAAGCAGGTTCACCAATGCCAACTGAAGACAAAAGAGAAGACAACATGAAGTAGAAGCGGGAAACTCCAGCTGAATAGTTCGTGTATCTGAAATATGATAAGAAACGGCTGTCCTCCATTATACATGGGCTCTTTCAAAGTATCATTTTGGTCACACAGGATTCACATCTTTTCTTGAGTCAAACTGAATGTGAGCTTATTAATCTATGTTTTCTTAGCTTCATGTCATAATAATGGGTGACTGTTACAGATGGTTTATAGCAGTTCCCCTGGAATTAAAAAAGAAAAGGGAAAGAAAAATCAGACTCCGTCTTTTTTATAAAACTAAACACCAAGACATTTCTGGATATTTATTTATTTGATTGGTTGTTCATTAGATCACAATCTCGGCTTGTATGATTTTTATAGTCTCTTATCTCACAAAAGGTTGGGAAGGTAGGGAGGTTCATCTTAGGAAATTCTGATCATCCCAAGAGATTCATAATGAAATGGGGCCATGGAGCCGAGGTGGCACAGTGGTTAAATGCAGCACTGCAGGCTACTTCAGCTGACTGCAGTTCTGCAGTTCGGCTGTTCAAATCTCACCGGCT